GAAGGAAGGAAGGAAGGAAGGAAGGAAGGAAGGAAGGAAGGAAGGAAGGAAGGAAGGAAGGGAGAAAATTAGAAGGAAGGAAGGGAGGAATAAAACAAAAGAAGGAAAGAAGAAAATTTCAAAAATGTGTTGGCGTGGCAAATTTGGATCTGCCCTTTGCCCTCACCAGCCTCTTGTGCCCCACTGAACCTGGAATTCAGCTCRCTGAACAAGAAAATAAACCACATTTATTAAGGGCCAAGGCTGTATCAGCCACACAGAACAGGCCAAGGGGCAGGAAGGAATTGCCCCAAACCACCATCACCTCAGGGCAGCTGGGGCTAGGATCCTGCCCCGCCCTGGGCCAGGAGGAGCTTTGTGCTCAGCTCTGTGTAGGCCTGGCTCTCCCTCTCCACGAAGGCCTGGAAGAGGCCACCCAGCTCCTGGTGGGCTGGGGTCTGCTCACCAGCCAGAAGCCCCCGCGCAGCCTCCAAGCCTTCCTGCTCCAGGACTCGCTGCTTCTGCCGCAGCTGCTGCCCCTGCTCCTGCTGGAAAAGGCCAGAGCGGGAAATGTATCTCAGGAGGAGAAAGCCAAGGTCACCACCCTGTCCATGGCAGCTGACTCCAAGAGTGGGGCCTCTCTCCCAGCTCTGCAGTCTCCTCCCAGCTCCTTATTTCCAAAGTGCCAGTTGGTGTGGGGGTGTTCCCCCAGGGTATGCCCTATCCCCTGGGGTTACCTGCTCACTCTCCATCAGCCCCAGGGCCACCTGCTGTCCACGGTAGAGCATGTGACGGCGATCCACTTGAGTTTGGAATCGAGGCAGGGTCCGAACAGGATCCTGTACTCCAAAAGTGGGGGACAGCACCTGGGGGGCCTGAGTCGCCCCCACCCCAAAGATGAAAGGTTTGAACACTGACCTAATGGAACATGGACAGCAAGACTGAGGTGGCTCATCTCCTGTCGCCTCCCCTGCCTGGTACGTGGCACCCCAAACCCTYATTCTTCTCACCTGGATGGGTCTGGTGTGGCTGTGAGGAAGTGGACACAGGGCCGCGTGGGATCCCGAGGCAGGATGGACACCATGCTGGCTGTGGTTCGGAAGCCTCCAGAGTCCATACAAATGCCACTCTCTTTGTTTCTGAGAATGTCCATCATCACCTCTGCTGTGATGTTCCCTGCCAAGAAGGAAAGCGTGAGGTTCCCAGCAGAGGGAGAACTGTGGCCCTCCTGGGACCCCACCCACCCACCCACCCATACAGACCTTGCCATTTCTGTAGCAGTTCCCGCCCAGCCCGGAAGCGGGCCTTGGCAGCCTCCATGCGCACAGGCTGCTGGGTCAGAGAGAAGACCTGAGCAAAGTCAAAGGCGCCCTGCCCACTCCACCAGCCCTGGGCCTGGGCATGGCTCCGAAGTTCCGGATGTTCAGCTGAGATGTCCGTGCCAATGCTCAGCTGGTTGGAGATGTTTCGAGCACCCCCTGTGAAGGAGATAAGGGAGTTGTTCATTTATCATGAAGTACCCATTGAATGCCAAGCTCTGGGCTAGGTGCTGAGAATATGATGGTGACAAGAACACCCTACCCTCATGGGGCTACAGAGGTGGGGGAGACAAAATAATCACAGAGATAAATGCAACGGCGAGGAGGTACCTGCTTACATGTAAGGAAGAGCCTAACTACCCAGGGAAGTCCAGGAAGGCTTCCCAGAGGAAGTGACAGGCTGACCCACAGGAGGACTTAATCAGGTGAAAGGAGGGGAGAGTCCCTATAAGGGTCCCCAAAGGTTGGCACCTGGATGGTGTCCCTCTCTGTCCCACCAGCTCTACCACCTCCAAAGGGGAACAACTTTGGGAGGTGGGCCCTGGCACTGGGCCCCTCACCCTGGATCCTCTGTGCAGCCCACAGTCTCCCAGCTGTCTCCAGCACCCATGCCTCAGTCCGGTCAGCCAGCAGAAAAGTGTTGTGGTAGCAGAATGGCATGGGGTCCTCCCGGCAGCTGCCCCCCTGCCCATAGCGCTCCAGCAAGCCTGTGATCACATGCAGGGCCTCCTGGGCAGTGCTGCCCCGTTCTAAAGCCAGCCTGGCAAAGAAAGGTCAGGGGACAGAAGTGGCCCAGAGATATTTGGTAACAAGCCCAAGTCACACAGCAAACCCACTGCCATTGGTCATATTAAACATAATTATGCCAGTGGTTTCTAAGCTGTGCTCTGAAGATTCCATAGGAAGGCCTGAAACAGTCTGAGAGAGAGAAGTGCCCTGAGCCCCAAACTTATCCTCCATCAGAGCTGCTCTATCAGTTTTATAAACCTGGATTCTTCAAGAGATTTCAATTGAAAAAAAAAATTACTCTTTAAAAAAATGTAAACCAGTGCCATCCCATTTCTGGGCCAGGACAGGCTCCTTATCAGACTGAGGAGATGGGGCCAGGGGAGAGGAGGGGCAGGGAAGCCTCCCCTGGGAGGGCATAAGGGCAAATTCAGCAGAAAGGAGTCTGTCCCTATGAACCAGACTCGGGGAGGGAGGAAAAGGGAGATGGAGGAGGGAAGCATCCACACCTGAGCAGGTCCATGCCCAGCAGGGCTTCCCCCTCCCCAACTGGCTCCTTGGTCCACACAGCTTCGTTTCCAATGCAGACACCATGTTCATTGGCACCCATCTCAGCTCCCCACAGCCAAGAAGGACGACTCAGAATCACAGCATGTGTCTTCGACACCTGTTCCACTTCAATGTAGGTGCACTGGAGGCAGAAAGAAAGGAAGCATCCACTCAGAAAGGGCCAGAACCTACACTGTGCAGGCACTTTGCCAATCACCCAAGGTATTGTCCTTGGGAACGTCTTATTCCTATTTTACAGCTGAGGAAACTGGGGTCCATTGGCTAAATAATAGGCTTATGGTCCAGGTTGGTAGACTTGAAGCTCATATTTCTTTTTCACCACATCTSACAACCTCCCAAGCGTAGAAAGCAGAGGAAGAAGGTCTTAGAAGAATGCCTAGAACTGCCACCCTTTTCAGTATGGCATAAGGCCTTACCCACCTGGRGCCGGCTCCCAGGGGGGTGAGTGCCTGCTGGTACAAACACCACCTCCTGCACCTCATCCCGGGGTCTGTCTGAGTTCTTTGCAAAGATCACAGCCGGAATGGCAGAGGCCGGAGGCACGGAGACCAAGCAGTCGCAGGAACAAGGGGTGTCATGGATTGAAGAGGACATCTGCGGAGAGTGGGGGACGACTGTGTCCCTTTCATGCCACCTTTCCATAATCCTGCCCACGTCTCAGGCCTAAGGCGCTCTCTCCCCCAACACGTGTATACAAAGGAAGACACTGAACAGCGCGGACACTTGATGCCTGGGACCAAACAAACCCAGCACATGGCTTGGAGTCAGCTGGTGGCGCAGAGTCCTAGTCTGAGTGTCCTGCCCTGATAGTCTRGGATAGAGTGGTACGGACTCACTGGCTCTCCCACTTCTCGCTGGTGTCCCACGCTCCTGTGCATGCCCAAAGACCCGCCCCTCTTCCATTCACACCCTTTCCATCCCCAGTACCGTATACCCCTCACTCTCTCAGCCTCCAACGCCCCCAACTTGGTCACCGGAGCCTCCTCCTCCGCTTCGTGTCGGGTGGATTCCAATGGACGGAAGCTTCTAGGTGACCTGGAAGGCCTTTGGCCCCGGAGGCGGAGCCAGAAGATCGCACCTGCGGTTCCACTGTTTTCCACCTGGGTGCGCACGAACACCACTTCTCGGAGCGCAGCGGTTTGTCAAGTCCTGCGGGACTCCTGCAGCTCATTACCCGGGCGCCCCTCATCTGATGGGGTCGCTGTGGGGAGC